ACCCAGGGCGCTTCTCAAAATCAGAGTCCTGACATGCTCCAGCGCAACTTTGGCTGTTTTCTTTCGCACCCTAGTCCACCATACTACGGCTGCGTATGTGAGTCTGGAGCGAAGTATGGCTGTGTAAATCCAGTGTATCATACTCGGTTTCAAACCCCAAGTCTGGCCAAGGTCCTTCTGCACATCCAAAAATACTGACACAAGCTTTTGCACCGGCTACGAAGGTGCTCTTCCCAAAGCAGTTTCCTATCCAGAATAACTCCCAGATATTTCACTGATTCGGTCGGAACTAACCTTACTTCTCCAAGAGTGGATCCCACAATGGTGCCCACCTTGTATTTGCGAGCAAAGACAGTAAGACCAGTTTTCAGCGGATTCACCGCTAAACCCGTCCTCTGACACCAATCTTCTACGACTTCCAGTGCCCCCTGCATGAGCTCTAGAAGCGTCTCTAGAAAGGGGCCTCGCACAAGTATTGCCACGTCATCCGCGTAGCCTTGTGCAGTGAAACCTCTATCGTCCAGTGCCTTTAATAATCCGTTTGCTACCAGGCACCATAAAAGTGGGGAAAGTATTCCGCCCTGCGGGCAGCCTCTTCCCACCCAACCACAAACTTTCGCAGTTCCCAAAGAAGTCATCACACGCCTTTCTAGCATGCCCCGGATCCACTCGACAAGCTTCATCGGGACACCTCTTTTGGCGGCTTCCTCACACACTACCTCGTGCGGTGTGTTGTTAAAGGCGCCCTCTATGTCTAAGAAAGCACCCACTGCGTAGCCCTTCCTTTCCAGCTGCTCCCCAATAAACGCTACCGTCTGATGTAGAGCAGTCTCGGTGGAATAGCCTGGACGATACGCGTGCTGATTTTTATGGAGAGAATGCCTCCACAGAGTTGTCTCTTTCAGATATGCGTCCACCAGCTTCTCCAATGTCTTAAGGAGAAACAATGTTAGGCTAATTGGCCTGAAATCTTTTGCCTTGGTGTAGCTCGTTCTTCCCACCTTTGGGATGAACACTACCCTGGCCAGTTTCCATGCGCTGGTTGTGTAGCCCATCGCGATACATGCTCTTAAGGTTCGAGTCAATGGGCCCACGATCTGTTCCAGTCCCTCTTGTAGAAGAGCCGGAAAGACGCCATCCGGTCCCGCTGACTTGTAGGGCTTAAAGGTGTTAATTGCCCATTTGACCTTCTCGGGCATGACAATCTTGGCCGCCATTTGCCAATCCGCTTGTCGGGCTTTTCTGAGTGAGCTCGGCTCCTTATATGCAAATAGCTCTCCCGGCTCCCTATGGAAGCCCGGAAAGCTCACTTCCAGTAGATGCTCCAGACATCGCTCTCCAGTCATCACCGTCCCATCAGAGAGTGCGATGGCTTCCAGGGTCGCATCCGGGTTCCTAGCGAGGATCCTGCAGATTTTTGCCGTTTCGGGCATTCCCTCCATTTCCTCGCAAAACTTTCTCCAGCTTTCCAGTTTCGCCCTAACCACAGAGTCTCTATACTCCTTCTGTGCTCTCCTAGAGAGCTCCCAGTCGGATTGGCGGCCCGTGTTCCTAGCTCTATTCCAGGCCCTGTGAGCCGCCACTCTGAGACCCTGCAGTCCAGGGGTCCACCAGGAAGCACCGCCTCCCCCTCGTCATGCGAGAAGTAGGCCAAACGACCATTTTCCTCCTGTCACTGGAGTCAGCAGTGAAATCCACTTCTACAGCCGCAACGTCCCTGGAACACAGGTGAGGTATTAGCTGGGCTTCCATACTCTTGACGGCCACGCAGGCCCTGAGCCGATCCACTGATGGGGCCCTAAAGAGCCTGCCGCCAAGTCTTTGATGCAACCCCGGATTACTCAGGGTTTTAGCATCAGTGATATGCATGTTTGCTTCCCAGCTTGTTGCCTG